TCCAAAGAAACCAGATTATGATTATATTGGCCGATACGTTGAGCCACTGCGTCCATATTAACTGCTATTCCGCAAAATGCTGTCCGACACAAATGTATGAAAAAACTTTACTATACATAGGTAGTAGATATGATTATTAACCACTTGGCTTACCCAAATTCAAGTGTTTTAACTTTCGATTGTTTTCTAGCATGGTTAAAACCAATTCAGGTTCGATTACCGTTTGAAATAAATCTAGTCTTTCCAAGTTTTTTAAATTTGCCAGACAAGAAAAGTTAAGCAGCGGGGGATCCGTCGAGCAATTTCGAAGGGAAAGTTCTAGTTAGGAAATAAACATTAGATAATTTTTAAGAAATCATACATATACAATTGAAATACCCCTTAAGTTGTCGCAAACAATTCCCAATGTCTCAATACAGCTGGCGTTTAAAATTTTACACGAATCCAATCTTAAGCATATTAGACTGTCTCCTCGTTGTTGAATAAACCTAACAAATAAAAGAATTTTCATAAACTTTTAGAAAACAAAAAGCACATCCTGAAGCATACTTTTTAAATTCAGTTGGGGAAATAGTGTTAAACAAACCACACCACGATAAATCCAACTTTTTCAACACAGTAGCTCTCTTTGCCAAGGTACATAATAGATCGTTTGTTGTAAGATGCCAATACGGTTTTAGGTTCAATTCGCCGTACAACAATGGATGAGTAGATACGTCATAAAAGAATTTCGACACTTGTCCAACTAAGAACAGCGATATTAAATCCAAGTAGCTGAATATTTTCAACATAATTTCAAACTGTAGAGGAAATAAAATCACTAATTGTTATTGAAAATGTTAAAATAATTATTACTTGCAAATGGTCTGAAAATTGCGAGTACCATGGAGGTTTTTATATATAAATTTGTTATCAAAGTAAAGTCCCTGCTTTAAGCAGCCAGAGAACGTAAAATTTAAAAGAAGTTTCAATATACATATAGCGTTATTGAGTCAAATTTCGTATAGCAATTTACGCTATTTCTCTTTGAAATTTCTTTGACTTCTTTTTGGATCGCGCCAGCTGTTGTCAGAAAATAAGTACAAATACCAAATTTCGTTAAGATATCACAATTTTTACTCGAGTAATCATGTGCACAGACGGGCGGAAGGACAGCCAGTCACCGCTTAACCGATTTCTTTTTTCAATCTGAGCATTAATATATGTACATATATACATTTGTCTATATCTATTTCGCACAAGTACGCTAGGGTATAAAAACAGACATATACACGAAACGTATTTTGATTTTATTGCCATACTATTCAATAACATACCGGCATGTCTTTGAGTCCAATCGTTGTCTTGCACTCCTCGGAATGTAACTCGTCGGTCATAATTTCTCTATTATTGCTTAATACGTATATAAACTGATTTAAATCGTTGGCAAAAAATTCTCTCAAGTGGTTATGATAATTGTCCTTAATATTGGGTCGAAATTGAATTCTTTGTAATTTCCGCAAAATCGAACCTTAAAATAGAAAAACATTTTAATAGTTTACTTATAATGCCTAATTTCTCGGCTTTAAGTATAAAAAAAATTTAATTATATTTTCACCTACATTTGCGTTGCCGTTCATAGGAGTCGAATACTCGTTGCGCACTTTCAATATTCACCTTCCTCCCGCCTAGTAATACAGCATCGATTTCCGTGAAATAACCCAGGTTCGAATGATTAAATTCTAGCCTTATAGTCCTAAAAATATAAAAATTAAATAGTACAACATAACTAACTTAATAACTTTTAGTTACCTAGTGGGCAAATTTATTTTTTT